TTCTGTACTTAAATCTACTGGCCTTTCTGGGCCAGAAGAGTCAAGGTGTTTCTAAATCTACTGGCCTGTCTGGGTCTCTCAAAATTCCTGTTCACTCTCTGAATCATACGCAGTAACTGAAAGATTTGCTTTTAGTATAAGTAAGCAGAGGAGAATGAAACAAGGAAAATAGTCCCACTATGCATCCCCACACAAACACAGTGTCTTCACAGGCATGCAGTCCATTAAAGTTAAGGCCTAAATTTTCTTTTCAGAAGAACAGAGTTTTCAAGTCTATTAAGTAATATTATTCGTTTACTTACTATAAGGACAATCTTACTGTACTTTCCTCTAAATTTGTACAATTATTTTACTAGGTTTGGAGGGGAAGCAAAGGTTCAGTTTTATAACATACTGTGCCATAAGCAAACTTGAGACTATACATTTGTACTTATAAAATTATGTATGGTTTATAAGAAATACTTTATGAGGAATATTTATAACATTATTTCAATTCTGATTTTCTCATGAACATTCACAACAATTTAAATTGCAAAAATTCTGCCTACAAACAACTTTCCAGGAACACAAAAACTGAGTAAGGTAAGGCACACCTAAATTACTAAGCAGCCTGCTCCTCAACCATCAGCTTTAAGCATCTTTATTTAGACAATTCACTTCATTACAACTAGGCTGACTTGCTGTCAGATTACATTGCCAAGTCTAAGAAGAAGGTAAATACCACGGACAGCTGCTTTCTAGGCCAATGTCAGCCTAGCGCCATAATAGATCAACAGACCTCAGCAGCCAGCCAGGCGCACAGCAAAATGCTCTGAAGCTCTGAACTCATCTGCTTCGCCTCCTTCAGGATCCAAACTTATTCCTGACTAGCTATGGAGAAGTTTTTACATGAGAATCTCAATCAGTGAGAAATAAAAATACCCTTAAAACAAAAATCTCTGCTTAGCATAGATCTTTCTAAACCCGTTAATAGCCTACTTATTCCATGCAAAATTCTACACAATAAAATTTTAGGACAACAAAGGCATTTGGAGGTTTCCTTAGAGTTATGATAATATGTGACCTAAATAGATTCACTGTATATGAACTAGGGCTTATAAATATTATAATATGACAAGTAGTATCTGCCTGTAAATGAGAGAATGGCCTCCTTAACTTAGTGATTCACTGAGGTGAATTCCAACCTTCAAGGAATATTTTGAAATGATCAGATTTTCAGTAATTTATTTACTTAATTATTTTTCAAGTACAGTTTTCTGCCTTTTACTCCCTTCCCGCCCCACCATGCTCCCCACCTCCCTCCCATTCCCACCCCCCTTAGCTGTTGTCCATGTGTCCTTTATACTAGTTCCTCTAAATCCCTCTCATTTTTCCCCTGAAATTCCCTCCCCTCTCCCCTCTGGTTGCTGTCCCCCTGTTCTCTATTTCAGTGTCTTTGTTTTTATTTTGTTTGCTTGATTCTCTTTTCATTTAAGAATGGAAAATATAAGGAAGAGAACTAATGTTTATTGAAAACACTTATTTGCCAAGGACTATGTTAGCTGCTTAACATTCTTCATTTAATAATTCTCCAAACTTTATAAATAGGTACTATTGTTTTCATTAGTAGGCTCAGAGTGTTAATGTGACTTCTCTGAGTTCACAGGGTTTATCACGTATATGGGGTTAAACCCCTTTTTTCACTGAGTCAAAGCTCAGGGTACCTCTACCATGTCTTGACACTATACATTTTTTTTCAAAAGAATAATATTATCACTCAAATAAATAATTGTAAATAAAAAAACACACAGGGTGAAGAAAATTAAATGAGATGGAAACTATTGCTTTTAACTATGGAAAACAATGCCAGTTTGCATTTTTCCACTTTTCACAGTTGCTTCATGACATATATCACCAATAAAGGAATGAAATTATGATTTTTAACTTGTCTATAAAGGAAGTAGTTTCAAAGATATTTCACTGACTACAGTCCATCAAAGCTGATGACTTTTTTAGCAAGAATCTTTGATGATTTGTACAAAAATATCTAAAGTATGTTTTCTTTACTTTCCCAAACTCCTATGCCACATAATTGTGTAAATATGACAATGTGGTGGCTTTGCATAAAAACATGCTTAGTATTTTATTTTGCTTCCTAGATTCATATAGAGTACGTTCCTTTGTATGAAGATAGCACTGAGGGCTGCATTTTGGAGTGTTCGGATAGGATCTTCTTTTGGAGTGTTCTGATGATGTTAGAAGCACTGCCTTCTGTAGGAAAAGTCAGGTATATAGCCAGAATCAACTTTGCACATCAGAGAATTATACGGCCACACTCAAGGACTCATCCATCTTTAGGACATCTTATGTTTATAGTGCTAGGGGAGCAAAGTCTTCGTAAGATTCTGAAATCAAAAGTATGATAAAGACTGAATGCTAAAAACAAAAATTTCAGCAATAACTCAAAAAAGTTAAATTGGCAGGGTGAAATTTCCTGAAGGAAATCACACACCATTATGCACTGTTCCACCTGAAAATGTATAACTGTTCTAGCATTTTTGATTTACCAAACAAGCACTTTGAATACCGAATAAGACACAGTCATGTTGCCCTGGTCAAGGTGGCTCAGTAGGTTGGAGCATTATCCAGTAAACTGAAAGGTTGTGGGTTCAATTCCTGGTCAGGGCATGTGCCTAGGCTGTAGGTTTCATTCCTGGTCAGGTCAGGGCACATCTAGAAGGCAACCAACTGATCAATGTCTCTCTCTTCCCACCTTTTTTCCTCTTTCTCTCTGGATTAAAAATTTTTTTCAAGTCATTGCTATGTTAGAAAATTCTGTTTTCATGATATTTATAGTTCAATCTAGTTAAAGAATACCAAAAGAAATAATACTACTTAAAAGGGATAAATTAAAGCTATTAGGTGCTAAAAAGAAAATAATGCATGAACACATTTAGGGGGAAATCAGAAACAGGAGTAGCAGTCATGAATATAACCTCCTTCCTTTTTTAATTAGGTAAATCCAGACTCTCCAAGTTAACATATGAATACTATTAAGCATAGCACAAAATTGTGGATTTGCATAATTATTAAGGAATGTGAATCTATGTTTCTGATTTTTAAGTAATCATAAAAATGACAAGACAGTCACCTAATATAGCAGGTAAAAATCCTACTAGAGCTACTTTAATGAATGGCTTGCGATTGATTAAATACTGTCTTTAAACTGTATTTAAAAAATTATTCCCAAGTGCATGAAACCAGCACCTCGGCCCCAATCAGAATACAAAATCCCCCTGCAATCTTAAATACACCATTGCATTGCTCTGCAAATTCCTTTTTCATAATTGTTGCCAATGTAATCTTTATCAGAGTCTGGGTCTGAGTTAATGAAGTTACACTGTGAGGTAACAGAACAAAAAAGTGTGAGTTCTCAAAAAGACATTTACCCTTGATGTCCCCAGAATATTTGTAAGACATCAAATCATTTCCTTGCCTCTAAAAATATGCTTTTCCCTTGACACTCATTCAGTACTGTCATTGGAATAAACACAGACTATTAATGCAAATAACTCAAACTAGTAATCACACTAGAGGAGAGGACTTAACGGGTCATTATTTTGGCTAAAAATTACAGCAGGGCTTCAGTGATAACCTGTCGTAAGCCCTTAAAGATATATACTCAGTTATCACATCTGAATACTAATTTGCATGTATATTGCAGTGTTATTTTTTTGTTATAGTTTCTAAGAAACAACCATATCATGAATGAAATGTTAGAAAACATACAGTTCTTTTTTGCATGTGATAAATACAAATATTATTGGTGGGTTCTTGCTGTACTTTGCTTCATGGCTGCTACAGAAATGGAGGATAGGTCATCAAATTTGGTCATAAAGAAACTATACAAATTAATATAATTTTTTTCTTTCCATGCGGAACAAAATATCTTACCCTCCACTCAACATTTGTTTTTTGCATACATGGAAATTTTCCCAGATGTTAGTATGAAGTACGCATACGTATTTTGGTTTTCTGTTTAGCATCACAGTCAGAGACAAGATTCCAATGTTAGAATTTACATTTTTGCAGACCAATTTCTTCTAAGCTCTCTATTAATTTGCTCACCATCTAAGTGGTAGCTTGGCCACTATCGTCATGAAAAATTCCTCAAAGTTTACCATAAAAATATTTCAGGTCATGTTTATCAAGGCATGGAAAATGGGCCATGAAGCTGCAGAGGCAGGCAGCAGGGCTTGCCAATGACTCTCTTTAACGGATCCTGATCAGTTCCTGGCTGAGGGAGCCAAAGCATTATTGTGTGGATCAGGCACAGACATGACCCACTCTAATGAAGATTTCTGCTAGGCCCTAGCAGAAGGGCCCTAGGCTGTTCAATTAAAAGTACAACTTTTTTTTTCTCTTGTTCTTTCTTTTTTTTTTCTCTTTTTTTTATTTAGTTACTCAAGTACAGTTTTTTGTCTATTTCTCCCATTCATGCCCACCCCCCATCCCGCACTCCCCACCTCCCCCCAAAAGTACAGCTCTGGTGACACAAACAAAGCCTCTTCCTCTAGCATCTTTAAATAAATGGTTCATAATAATTGTCATGTGAGCATTTAAAATGAAAAAGCCCTGCAACTCACTAGACATACACACACACACACACACACACACACACACTTTCCCAAGAGAATTAAATTGCTGACGAAATCATTACACTACTTTCTGAAAATAAGAGACAAATTATTTTGTTTGCTGAGTAGGCTCTGGGATACCTATGTAACCTATATTTACAAGTGTTTTACTCTGAAATAAATAGCTCAAGAACTTAGGAAACATCCACAAGAATATTCCCTTTCCACCTTATTTTTCTCACTGCCATGTTAGCCTGGCTATCAGAGAACTGTAGAAAGCAGCCTAATATTCAATGCAGCCCAAAACACAACCACATTTTTAAAATGGCAGATCTCAAAAACATGATGATTCAGAGCATTAAATAAACAACTGCTACCACCAACCTTTGCTTGGGCCGCTGGTGCTGTCACCTTGACGACTTTATTGCGATTTATCATTTGCTTCACCCATCTTTCTACTTGGACGTTGAATTTCATGAAAACCACATAGGCAAAGTAAGCTGTTAAGAGAAGCAAGCTTTCCCACCACATGATGACATTATCCAGAAAAAATATGATCAGCATGATCAAGTCAATGATGTAGAAGGACACATCCCGAAAGAGTGGCCACCATGTCAGGTTCAAGATTTCTCTAGAAAACAGAGCACACATGCCAATAACAAAGAGGATATTGAACACTGCTGAGCCCACAATGGTGCCTATGCCCACATTGCTATGGGCAATAAACACCCCTATGAGAGAAGTAAAAAGTTCTGGGGCTGAGCCCCCCGCAGCCATAAAGGTGGCTCCAGCAACATCATCAGAGATGCCCAGTTTTTCAGTGATGACAGTCAGAGAAGGAACAAAGAATTCATCGCAGACAATGGCTAAGGCTATGAACATGTAGATCATGCCAATGATATGGAGAACAATGGCACCTTTTCTTCGCTCCTCAAGGGAGAAGATGTCTCTTGGGTAGTTTCCTTGGTCATGATCTGTGCTATTCTCAGATTTGCCTTCCTGAGAAGGAGGTGGCTGTGGAGTATAATCCCGAATCTTGTCATTTAAATCTAAGAGAGTTCTCTGAAGGTAACCGTGCGCTATCCTAGGGCCACTTGCACCACCGGCCTCTCCTGTACTCTGTGTCTCTGTCTCGGAAAAGGCACTGATTGAAAATGGGACAGTGCTGATGGCTACCAGGCCCATGAAAAGGCCTAAGATTCTAATTAACTTCAGTTTTTTCCTGACATTATAATGTTTCCTGCAGCCAGATGGTGACTTATCTGAATACCATTTCTCAAGGAAAGTGATGATGGTACTTTGGTGCAGATCCATCCTGGGTCTTCTGATGGATGTGGTGGTCTTCCAGTTGTAAACTCAACCAGATGGTTCTTTCATACTCTGCCTCACTTTATACTTAATGGTGCTGTGAGGCTCTTCCACAATCAGGGATCCTTATGCTTCACAGGGAATACTTTTGACATTTATGCTAAAAAAATAAAAACAAGGATATAAAAATCATAAAATATCATAAAATAAATATCATAAAATAAAAATCATAAAATATGTCTTTCTTTTTACAAAAATTTTTGTAGATATGATGAAGTCCTATCCTATGGCCGTGCGAGTTATTTAACTTCTCCCTGCCTCAGTTTTCCCATTTCAAAAATTAGGTCACTTATAGCACCTAACACCAAGGATTTCTTTAAGGACAAGTTAAAGCACATGAAACACTAGGAATAAGATGTGGCACATAGTAGGTACTTACAATAATGTATATATAAACTCAAACATTTTGGTAAAATCCAATATTTGGTATAGACAATGTAGACATGTGTGTTAAGTATAAAAAATTTATAGATGAAAATCTATCACTTGATTTCACCTTAAGTCATATAATAAACAACCCGCCCTCACCCAGTGCTAAAAAGATATCACTTTTTTTAGAACTACCTACCTACTGACAACAACAATTATTCACTGCTTTCTTTTAGTCCATTTATGTAATTCCAGACAGAGGCACACCTTTCTGATTTAACCTGTCATTTGGGAAGGGTTGCGTGTTGAAGGAGAAAGAAATCTTTTCCTGAACACACAAAGATCTTGGGATCTTATTTTTTCATGAAAAGCTTCTCCTATACCAGATCCATAAAACTAGCCCTTGAAAAATTTAAGTTCACAACAGAATTTTCTAACAACATGAACGAATTGTTTTTCCTGAACATCTAGACAATGTTTTCAGCTAAAGGTCACTTTTAAAAACAAAATCTTTAGTCACATTTAAAACAGACAACTTAGTAAATCAAACAATCTTAACAAGTAGGCTATTTCAAGAGACTAAATATGCCTTTCATAAACAATATGCAAATTGCAGCAATGCTCGTGTCCACTAAATCTGCCCCAAATCTGCCCAACACGGAACTCCTCTAGTAGGTTAGACATCCAAGCAGTTTTCATTCTCGGCCCCACAGAGGAGATGGGTAAAATGACCAGACACCCCGGCCGATATTCGGAATGTTTTTCTCCCTAACTTTCTTTAAAAACTGTTTTTTGTTTTTCTCTATCAACGATTTCACTTTAGACACATTCGCGGAGATCATCTCAGGTGTAAAATAAGCTAATTCAACACTTGCCAGTTAAACACTGAGATTAGCTGGAGCTCAGAGCAAGAGCACCAGTCAAACCAGGCAGAGATGCTCTTGTTCCTGAGATAAACCGAACCCGTCACAGAGATTCCCGGCTGGCTGGCAGATGTCTATACTTACAGCACGAACCATTAAACGACTCACCGCTCTCTGGGGATTGTCAGAGACGGTGCTGAGCCAGCCAGCGGGGCAACGGGCAGAGACTGAGTCAACTCCCAGGGTGCCCTATCGGCTCCAGCCAAACCCACCGCTCTGCTCCATGGGAGTGGCCTCTGCCGGCGAAGCGTGCCCCCGGCTGCGCCCCAACTTCTCCCTGTGTGGTCCCAAACTTTCCCTGGTGGGTTAATAGGAAAATAAAACTAAAGGACAGACGTCCCATTAGCGAGACAGGAGCTGAGATGCAGCTTGGGGAGGCGCTTGGCCCGCATCTTCCCAAATCGTTTGAGGGTAGGTGGAGAAATGGAGCACCCCTCTGTGCGCCCCCCACTCCAAACTGGAAATAGGGGCGGTTGGTTGGGAGAAGCAGGGGCTCAGAAACCGCGCCCCAGAATGGAGAGAGTTGACTAACTCCTTGTGGGGCCTGGGGCAACCACGTACACCCGAAGCCACCTGTGAGCCCACGGAGCAGCAACGGGATGCGCAGCCAGGATCCAGGGACAACGACTAATGCGGCCACCAAGCCTGGCGGCTGGCAGAGGCTCAGCCTCCCGCACTTACCGGAATCGCCAGGAGGACACGCACACGGGAAGGGTCCAAGCGTCTCTACTACTCCGAGGCCCGGGCTCCGGCTGCTGCTCGCTTCCCCTGCCTCACCGCCTCTCCCGGCGGTCCAGACAAGGTTCGGAAAGAGACTGAGGCTCTACCAGCCCAGCGCGCCGCCTCTGGTGCTGCCCGGCCCCCTCGGGCCCCTCCCTCTCGTCAGCGTGGCCACGGCTCGCTTGGCTCCGTGTCCTGTGCTCCACGCCTCCTAGGAGCAGAGGCAACGCCGGCAGCCGTCTCTTAGGAGATTTTTCCGCAGTGGGAACTGGGGTCAGGATTTGCAGGCGAGCAAGGACAGAGAGGAGAAAGCATACAGGTCAGTGTCGCACCTGATTCCCAAAGCCTGAGAGTGCTGCCAACTTTCCTGTCATCTATGCCGGGTTACCTCCCCAATTATCTGCAAAAAGTGACAACAGTCACACATTTCTTTAGAAGGTGATGTAATGCGTAAAGGTGGAAAAGATGTTGGATGAAAAGGAATGAAGGCCTACAGGGCTGTCTGTTCCTGGAGTCTCAGACTTGGATGGATTATTACATGGGCAATGGAACAGACCCTAAAACACAGCACCGTCTTGAGTTACAGGGTTCATAGGCTGGCCTCTGGCCTCTCAGCTCAGTGCTCTCCTGCTCTGTCTGGAAAGCAAGAGCCCCTTGACCACAAGAAAATGAGCCGGGGTTGCTGGAGATTAGAGGCAAGAATTGGGGCCAAAGAGCAGATGAGACAAACCGGTTCCTGAGGGACACCCAGCCATGTGACCACCACCAAAACAGGTCCCCCTGAGAAACCTTTGGGGCTTTCACTGAAGATTCTCTACCCTTCTTACCCTGCACCCTCCTACTTGTTTTCTACTTAGAGGATCTTTTTTTTTTTTTTTTAATGTCTCCCTGGGACTGGGGGAAATGTGGGTCATATACAGAAAGCTCACGTCCTATGAATTTGAGTACAATTCTCTACTCAGGCCTCTGTCTACACTTACCTTTGATACAAGAGAAGCCTTAGAAATCTTTTTCTCCCATCAAAGTCAGGCACATGAAACCATTATCTTGTTAAGGATTTCCAGGTCGTCTTTTGGAAGTCATAGTTGGAACTTTATCTTTATTTTTTATTTTGAAAAATTTCAAATGTGTACAAATGTAAGAGAAGAATACAATGAACCTTCATGGGCCACCACTCAGCTTGAACAGTCATCAACCCATGGCCAATTGTTTCATCTATACCCTCTTTTTCTCACACCATCATTTTAAAGCAAATCCCAGACATCAAATCATTTTATTAGAGATCAAGGAAAGTAACAACCACTAGGGTTGTCAAAAAGACTAAGAACTAATTCAAATAGGCTCCCACTAGGCAAGGATGGGTCAATTTGAGCACCAAAAATTGGTAATTACGATGTTGCAAACATGTCAAATGTGATTATATTTACAAGTTCACCATGATTCTAAAGCAACTCAATTGATTGGTCACTGCTGATGGATTAGGCAATAAACTCATTATTTTGAAATTGTTTTTTTTAAAAAGGAAACACTCATATATTTATTTTGCCCTTTCTATACAAACTGGACTTCATGGTAACTGGTAGGATTTGCTTTTAACTTGCCTTTGTGTTTGCTTTCTGGGTCTAACAATTCTGACCTTCCCTGATGCAATGGATGCTTCTGGCTTATGTAGGGGTGGGGTGGGACAGGAGAGTTGTTGTATAGAGGGTTTTGCTTAAAAGAAAAAGATTGTGCCCTGGTTGGGTGGCTCAGTTGGCTGGAGCATTGTCCCACACACCAAAAAGTTGTGAGTTTGATCCCCAGTCAGGGCGCATACCTGGGATGCAGGGTTCTATCCCTGGCTAGGGAACATATAGCAGGCCACCAGCTGATGTTTCTTTCTCACATCAATGCTTTTCTCTCTCTCTCTCTCTCCCTATTTCCAAAATCAATAAACACATCCTGGGGTGAGGATTAAATAAATAATAATATAAGAAAAAGTTGCAATATGGTTTTTAAAAATATATTCCTATAACCATGTAACATTCCTCCTCCTAGCATCTTTATAAATGTTATAAAGCTATCTCCTCCAATAGCCCAGAGATGATCTGGAGTCCCCACTGATGGGAAGGGGAATGAGGCCCAGATGAAGATCTTATCAGTTTTGCAGGTTGTATTGGTTGGGGTTTGTACTTGGCTGCATATAATAGAAACTCATCTGTAGTGATTTAACCAAATAAGTGTTTATTTGCCTCATGTAACAAGGAGTCTGAATGCAGACTCCCAGTGCTTCTATAATAAGTCAACAATGCCATCAAGAAAGCCAAAAATCCTTTCATCTGTCTTCCTTAATGTACGGTTTTTATCCTCATAGGCACAAAATAGTTTCCTCTTTCAGGCATTGCATTTATGTTTCAGGCAGGGAGAAGGGGGAGAATGAAGGGTGGAAGGCAGAAGGCTTCCTTGCTAGGGTTTGCTTGTTTATTAAGGAAGGGACACTGTCAAAAATTCCCTTACATTTCATTAGCCATGACATGGTCACATGGTCATACTTAGCTGTAAGGGAATGTAAAGAATATTTTCACTGGACTATTAGTCACCATTTAGAAAGTCAGGGTTCTCTTTGTGATATAGAAGGGTAAAACAAATGTTGGGTGGACAACTAGCAGTATTTGATACACAGTTCCACAGTATCTCAGTGAGATCCACACTGAAGTAAAGAGTAGGCAGCTGAACTTCACAGTCTACTTCCATGATAGTTGAGAAGACTAAAACTGCCATCATCATAGCAATGAGGAAAAACACAGCTTATCATTTGTCCAAGTCATACAATATGAAAACAGTAGAACTGACCAACACCTGTAGGTCCCTTTACTCACAGACCTTATTGCCTGGTCATGAAGGAAAAAGGGTCTTCATGAGAAAATTTACTAACACCAAATGATGAGTTGTCAAACAGTAACCTTGACCAAGTCCTTTGCTAAGAGATTAGAGTAATCAACGGGTTTCTCTGTATATATTATTATTAAAGAGCCAGCTTCTTACTTATTTTTAAGATACCTGCATAAGTATAAACATTAGGTAGCAGCATGTTTACCCTTCTATTAATTGTATGATTCGTTTGAACACAGAGTTCATGGGAGTCATTGGTAATTACCAGTTAAGAATGGTTGATTCCTTTTGTAATTCTGGAGAGGAGCTTTTTAAAAGAAGTAATGAAGAATTTTAAAAAGCATGGGTGTCAAATTTAAGCTAATAAAGGAATTTGAGTAGAAAACTGAATTGTAAAAAAGAACCAGGTTTTCATTTAAGATGTTGACACAAGATCCCGGAATACACCTTGTTCCAAGAAAACAATGAATCTACACTACGGAAGAAACAGCTTCCTGTGAAAACACCCAAAACACTGACTGAGAGACTCCTAGGCATGAGGTAGGAGAGACTGGGACACAATCTCACCACAAACCCTACATTCCTTGTGGTGACTAGCGGTCAGCAGGGAAGTCCAAACATGGGGCTTCTCCCTTAGGAATGAAGGTTTTGAGACCCACTTTGTGCACCCCCAAGTTTAAGACCTGCATCTGACAGATGAGCCTAGAAAACAATTAGCTTTGAGACCCACAGCTATAACAATCCGAGAGACAGTTCTCAAAGTGCTCTGGCTTGCATGGGATTTCGCGGCTGCAGAGCTCAGAACAAAAGTACCCATGGAGGTACTCTTGGAGTTTATGTTGGAGAGGACCCTTTGGGGGACTTGGAGCTTCGCCCTGGGGAGCAGGCATCTCATGGGCCTATGTTTGGGGCCGGCCAGAATGCTGTTACAGACAGAAACTGGCAGGTGCCAGCTTTGGGCCTTCCCTGGGCTGCTCCAGAGAGCCAGAATCTCCAGGACCCGGGCTTTTGCAGTGCCTCTGGTGCCCTGCCCAGGGGATGCCCCTTGCTTCAGGCTCTGGTGGCCAGGGGGACTTGCGTTATTAAGTTCCACGTTACTGAAACAATCGCAAAGAGCCTTCCTGGTAGTCCACCCCCCGCCCCCCAGGCCACTGCATTGACAGCAGACTAAAACGCACTGTGGAAGGGGTCTATTGGCTTGTCCTGGCACTTCAGCCTGAGGGGCAGGCTTCTGGTTTGGACCTTCTTCGGACCTACAGACAGATGTGCTCTCAGGGAATGTGGGCCAGTGTACAAAATCTCTGCAGTCTCCCACAGCCTCGCTACAGCTCCTCAGTGTCTCCCAGACAGGACTTTACACACTGGGGAGGGGGACAGGACGGGATGTGATTTTCGGGACTGCCTGTCACCAGCAGATGGCTCTAGATTGGCTGACACTGTGGCCAGTGGGACTTAGGCTTGCTGTCCCAGAGGATAGTACGTATTTGCAGATTTTAAAAACTGCTGCTTGAGGACCTGGCTTTCAATTAGCCTGAATCTAAGTGCTGACTGAGACCCTCCCCTTTGGGACATGACAGGTGTTGGCACATCTTCACCTATTAGGAGCCATTAAAAAGAAAATGGGCTATTCGGAGAATCGCAAAGGTTTGAGAGGCAACTGAAAGCTAGGGGCAGGGTGAACGACAAAATCCATTTCCCGCAGGAGGCCACTCCTCAAGACCAGGGACGAGGCTGTTTTATCTCACGCACAGAAACCAACACAGAAAGTCAAGCAAAATGAGGAAGCAAAAGAATGTGTCCCAAACCAATAAAGAAAAAGAACTAAAACCTCAGGGTTGATGGGGGGCGGGGAACTTTAGTGAAAACTGCCAAAGGGATACTCATTAATAATTTACTAAACACTCCTATCATTTTTACATAGAAACATAGGATGACATAGTTTAAGACAGGTTTCAGAAAGTCCCCTTGGCCCCATCGAAAATGGTACCCCCAACTGGCACTGTGCCTACAACTCTCTCATTAAAAATTTATTGTTTTTGCCTTCTCTTTAACATCTTGGAATTTTTTTAAAAGGTAAATGACTGTGGAGGAATAATAATAATAAGCAATTTCATATTGTTTTGACTTGACTTTCAGCCTAAAGGAAACAACAATTCTAGTAAATTTTTATGAGGGGAAGGTGGAAGAAAGCTGATCCAGTTGAAGGCAACCAAGGGACAAGATGAACGA